AATTTTAGCCACTCTGGTGGTTGTATACTGAGACCTCTTTATGGTTCAAATTTGTATTTCTACCACTGACTCTTACCTAGCTGACCACATTGGTGACCCATTTGGAATCCTTGGCTGGGAGTCCACCCAACAACCAGCAGCAAGCAGGACCCTATTATCAGGGTCCTGATAACCTTAACGCTCCCATAGCTCCCAGCTTGCTGAGTACTGATGGGCCCCACTGTGGAGGGTGTGTCCCCCACCACTTTTCTCACTATGGCTCTCCTGATGCTTGCCTCCTCCACGATGCCTCTCAAAACAGTGGCATCTTTCTTTTCCTACCTCTTCCTGGGGTGGTGTCCTTTCCTGTGGTCCCTCTCAGGCCTCGCTGCTCTGTCCCTTTCACTGCCACCCCTCCCCTGCCCACATCAGCTCTCCCAGGATACTACCTTTGCTCTGTTCACTGTCATAGCCCTGGGCCCTAAACTGTGCCTGGAATAGGTCAGGGGATCCATCAATATCCGTGGGACACCTGAACTGAGTCCATGGCAGGTACCATGACTTTTGACCAAGACATGTTTTATAAATGGAGGTGAAATTCACATAAGCGTGCCTCAGAGGCGTTTGATGCACCCCGTCACGCGACCACAGGCCCATTTTCTCCAAACCACAGCCATCCTGACCTCTGAGGTGACCGTAACACTCTCCCCTTTTTCTTTTATAACGACTAGCTTGGAGCTTCTTTCCACCCAAAACCAGCCTGGAGCCTTGAGCTTCTCTCCTACAGTTTTAGCGATGGTTGAAAAGTTCCACCTGGAAGGCTGGCTAAGCAGGGGCTTCTGTCCAAGCTGCATGCCCGTGGAGTCCCCCAGGGCTGGTGGAGAGACGAGTGCGCCGGTGGGCTGCTGTGCCTGGGCCCTGGGGCCCTGGAGGGGCCAGCCCTGGGCAGACCCAGCTCTGCTCGCCCACACCCTCCCCATCTCCCTCACGCCCTGCTCTTCCCTTCAACCTTGGAAACCTTTTCTTTCCCTTGGCCAATGACTGGGGGAGGGGAGGGCGACCCAATTTATTTGGCAACAAATAAAGAGCTGCCATGATTAAGATGGGAGGAGAGAGTTTAAAGGAGGAGAAATACCTTGGGTAATGCCATCTCCTGCGTCTTTATATTCTGAAACGGATCGTTCTGGACGCAGGCAGAAGGCCTGATTTAATATCCTCATGGAAAATACTGCACCTGATCCAATTACCACGGGAATTTTGATACCGTCAGCAGTCAAGATGAAAGATTCAGAGGCGCTCACTGCGGAGTAAACACAGAGAGCGAATTACCCGGCTCCTCTGGGGAAGTTAAGCGCCTGGGTCGCTGGGAGGGCGCCTCGGCCGGGCTGGGGCTCAGCTGAGGTCTTTTGCAGCCGCCCCTGCGGCCACGCTTCTCTGTCCCCTGGGCAGCCCGCACGCGGCACGCGGCTGGTGGCAGCCCCTTGGGTGGGGGCCCCGGCAGGGAGGGCAGCCTGGGCCAGTCCCTCTCCCCACATCGGTGCCCTCCCTCCCCCCCCTCCCCCCCCACCCAACGCCTCCCCAGAGACGCTCACGCACCCGCCTGGCTCTGTGAGGGGGCCACAAGGCTGGTGGCTGCCTGGTCACTCTCCCCATCTCATCCTGCTGTCCTCCGTGGACAGTGGCTTCCAAACAGAAGTCTACCCACGGCGGGCTTGAACCCCCCACGTCCGAAGCCAGACACCCTGCTGCCACTGCTCTGCGCTGCCCCCTCGCGCTCGCACCCAGCCTGGAGAGCTCCCTGCCCATGCGCCCGGGTCCACGTCCTGCCTGGGCAATGTCCACGTCCTCACTGGCCCTAGGCTGTTCGGTTGCCAGGACAGCCAGGAGCTGGGAGTCTCGCCCGACTGGCCATGCGCCCTGGGTGAGGTTCCAGATGCCCGAACCCCAGATGCTGTCCCCCACCGTGAAGAGGAGCAGGCTGCTGGGCAGTGTTCTGCAGCCAGACTCCTCGGGACCGGCTCCCAGGGGTCAGACTGGCCAGCGGTCGCCTCAGTTTCTGCATCCGTGGGTCGCGTGGCAGCGTCGGAGGGGTCCCTGCATCTGGTGTGATGCTTCCGATGGAGCCAGAGCTCGATGAGCGTTTTGCCCTGGAATGGGGGTCAGCGCCCCACTAGACACCTGTGGGCCAAGGCCTGGCCCGGACTAAAGACCCTAGCCACTAGGCCTGACAAGCCTGTCCCCTGCAGGGCTCCCCTCCTGGGAAGGGACACGACGTGGGTGGCGTGGGCGGGCAGGAGGGGGCAGTTTGGGATGGGACAGGAACGAGCCCTTGGGCGGAGAAGAGGTGAAAATTTCAGACACCAACGCTGAGGCCGTGGGTGCCACACACTTAACGGCACCCCCTTTCCTGAGCTTCTGGGCGCATGCTCACATCCTGGGCGGCTGGTTCTGTTTCTGTGTCGACACACTTACTCGCTGCACAACCGCGTAAGGACCGTCTGAAGACAGTTCGGCGCCGTCCCCCAGACGAGTTCACCGCTCTCCTTCAAACGCCCGAATCTGCACAGACTCACTGCACACACGTGGGCCCCCAGCCCCCACCCCGTGCCCCCGGGGCCCTGCGTCCACAGGGTGAGGCTGTCTTGGAGCATCTAACACGCTGTACTCCCACGGCGCCTCCCAGCCCTGTTCACAAACCTAGGGGTGCGCTTAGACCCCCCAGGTCTAAACGAGGCTTGCTTCGTGTCTTAACTTCGAATCAGTGCGGCCAGTACTTGAGTCAGCAAAATACTCCCCTAACTCAGAAATGCCCAGTGCACCCTGGCCTGATCCCCCAAGCCCTGCCAGTGGGGGGAAGATACGACTGTAACGTTCTGGCTCCCGACACACGTCCGCTCTTTATTCTGAGGCTTCTGAGGCCCAGTGGTCTCGCCACACCCGCATTTGGGGGTCACACTCCTGGCGTGGCTCACCTGGCTGGGGCACCCACACCCTGGCGAGGCAGCAGCCTTGCTCATGATGACGTGGGGGCTGCTGGCCAGCGGAGGGGGGCCCCTGGCCCTCATCGTCCCTGTGCCCACACCAGCCTGAAGCCCGTGAGGGGACTCCGCTAACAGGGTTACTGCTTCCTGCTCCCCGTCTCCGTCAGGGCCGCGTGGAGGACACAGCGCCAGGTGATTGGATTCCAGGTCTCTCAGGACTTCTGTCACAGTCTTGAGGTCACCCGGAAGATGGGAGGGGGTGACGCAGTCTCCCCCCGGAGGGGCTGGAGTGCGGCGCTGGCTGGCTGCAGGAGTGTGGGCCTCTGAAGCGCTCGGGGTGCAGGGCCGCTCCAGGCTCCCCGAGGGAGCCCGTCCCAGCCCTGGGTCTGCTCTGCCCGTGCGCGGGAAGTGAGGCGCCTGGGCAGCACTGGGCATGGAACCGCGGGCCGGGCCAAGTGTGGCGGGCAGCGTCTCCCTCCTGGAGAACCAGCCAGCTGCGAACAGGGCCTCCCCGCTCCCTGGATGTCTGATGTCAGCGGGGCTGGTGCTCAGGCGCCACATGCGTGCCAGGCCCCTGCTCTGGGCAGCTCCCTGCTGAGCTCCGCCCACTGAGGCTGCCCGGGCAGGAAGCAGCCCGAGTGTGCCCCCAGGCACCTTCTCCTTTCTGAGCTCTTACTGGCTGCCAGGGTCACACAGAGGCCTCCCCAGGGGGCTGCTGGCCTCCTCTGATGGTCTCAATAACCCCACTGGGGGTAACTGGTCAACCCATCAGGGCCGGCGCTCAGAGAGGTTGGGTAATTTGCCCACAGTCACACAGCTTAGAAACCTTGGCGTTTCAGTCTCACCCCGGCCCCTCGTCTCGGCCCCTTTGCTGTCCATCCCCCAGGGGCCTGGGCCCCAATTCCAGTCCTGGCTGGTCAAGCAGCAGGGGGCAGCGTGACTGCGCTTGTCCACCGCGGAGAGGACTTCCGTGGCACCTCCTCGCCCTCCGCCCTCCTCCATCACCCGCCGGGGAAGCTGGGAGAACCAGGTCCCCTGGGAACAGTCTCCTCCAGGACAGCCAGCCGCAGCCCAGCCGGCGGCCACAGCGGGGTGCTGCCGGTCACTCACCTTGGGGGACACAGAAGCGGCCTCTCCGGCCAGACCTGGTGGAGGGCAGGAGCGGGCGGGGTCTCCCCCTTCCCGCCAGCACCCCGGTGGGCAGGGAAGGTTGTCTTGGCAACTGGGCTCAGTTGCTCTTCCTGTTCTACTGGGCTTTGCCTGTGATTAAAGGTGCGGTGAGGAGGGCAGGCTGGCGGGGAGGGAGAGGCAGAGCCAGCCCCGGCCCTCCGCCTCCTCCCTCCTTCGGGGGCAAGGACTGAACAAGGACGAGGTGGCTGTGAGGATGCTGTCTGCAGGAGCCCTCAAGGTCAAGTTTGAGATGCAGTGGAGGGGGGGGCTGGATTCAGGAAGGCCGGCCGGCAGAGACGCCCTCCCAGCGTCCGTCTGGACCGGGCAGCTGAGAGGGCTCGGGCTTGGTGCCCTTCGCACCGTTCCCAGGGCGGCAACAGCAGCCTCCCAGGGCTTGAACGAGTCGTCCAGGTCCTTCGCTGCAAGGCTGCCCCACTGAATGGCACCACGCGGGCTCCCGCCGCCTGACTGATCACGCCCCCGAGGGCCCAACCGCGTCCTTTCTTTTTAAAACCAGCTTGAGAATTGCAAAGTTGCCTCCTTGGGTTTGGAAAGAGCTGCGGACCCAGAGCGCAGGGGCCCCGGCTTACAGAGGTGACAGGCTGGCCGGGAGCTGACGTCGTGGCCCAGGCTGCCTGGCCAGGTGGGCCTTCTCTGCAGAGGTGGGGGTCAGGGTGGAGGGGACAGGGTCAGCGGCATCCTCGGCTTTGCCCTCCAAATGGAGAGACTCTTGAGCCCCCAAGCCCCCGTGACCTGGGCCACACGTCTGGAGAAGACATCAGGGGCCTGTCCTGGTCCTGGGAGATGGCCCAGACCCTGGGTCCTCCGCTGTGTGGGAGGCCAGTGCCCCACCCTGCCGCCCGGGCCGACCTTCCGGCCTCGGCGTGGGTCCGGCTTCGGCGCGGGTCCAGGGCCTCGGCGCGGGTCCGGCCTCGGCGCCCTTCCTGCGGGCGGCTGGCTCGGCCCCCTGCGCACTTGCCGAAGGGCGTCTCTGCCAGGCCCCGCGGCCGCCTGTGGGAGGGAGCGTGGCGTCCACCTCGCAGGTGAGAAGGGCGAGGCTCAGGGCAGAGCCACCTGCCGGCTCAGTGGGCCCTTCAGGAGCAGCTCGAGGGGAGGCCTCGCGCTTCGTCTCCGGCGGGTGGCCAGAGCAGGAGAGGGACGCAGGAGGGAGAAGAGCTGGACAGCGGGCGCCTCTGCTGGAGGCCCGGGCTCGGCCTGACCCGTGAGGTCGCCGGACACAGACGCTGCCCTCTGGCCCGTCGCACCTACGACCAGGAACTGGGCTTCCTACCTGCCCACCTGCCGTGGCCGTGCGCGCTGAGCGGGAGAAGCTGGCAGGCAGGTCATGGCGCAGTAAAGGGGACTCTGGGGAGCATGCCGGGACCCCCAGCCCCACCGGACCCCGGGCCCCGGCTGGCCCCCCCCGCGCTGGCCCAGGGCGTCTCCCCGGCGCCGCGACTCCGTGGCTGTCGTGTGCTCTGTGCCACCGAGCGCCGTGCCTAGCACACATCTCCACACAGAGCACACAGCCCGGGGCCTCATGTATTATGCATGCGTGCGGCTCGAGGGGGGAGGCCCGGCCCCCTGGGATATACGGGTGCCGGCCCCCCCTCTCTCCCGGTGCCCGGGCGCAGAGGAACAACTGGACAGGAGAATTAGAGCCTGTCCCTGCGTGGCAGCAGACAAGGTGGGCTGAAGACGAGGACGCCGTGAGCGACGGCGCCGCTGGCGTGGACGGCGGTGGCTGAGGGGTGGGGGGCCCCCCAGGGGGGTACACAGGACGGCGAGGACGCCCCACTCCCCTGGCGCCATCAGCCCCAGAGCGCCCGCGAGCTCAGGCAGTGAGGCCCACCCGACCCGCCCTGCAGGACTCACGCCCAGCTGCTCTGGCCGGTGGACCAGGGGAGGGCGGTGGGCTGGGCCTGGGCAGAGCTTGCCCAGGCCGGCGGGACTGGTGTGCGTGGAGCCCGGCCTTCGTGATCCTGCTTCTTCCCGGCCTGTCCTGCTTCAGGGTGGGAGGCAGACACGCAAAGGGGTGAGGCCACCCGCCCAGGTCGAGCTCCTGACCATGGGCAGGGGCTCCCAGGTTAGCGCCTCACCTCCCCCCACTGCGCACTGACTCTTTCCCAGACCAATCTGCCGGCAGGTCTCCTGCCTGGCCTCTCCTCCGCCCTCCACCTGCTCAGCCTTAGGTCTCTGCCTGGGGCTGCCCGGCTCACTGTCCACCCACCCACTGCCCACCGCTCACTGCCCACGCCCTCGAATACAAGCCCCACCAGGCCCGTCCCAGCCAGACACCGCTGCCTCTCTCCAGGGAGGACGCACAGGGGACCAGCCGGGCGCTGTGCCCCGTCCTCCTGCCCCGGCCTGGCCCTGCCTGGCACCCCCTGCTGAGGGGCCGGGCTGTGAGGCTCAGTGCTGAACCTCTGTCCCCTTCCCGGGTCCGGCTGAGACCGTGGGTGGGTCTCGGCGTGCAGTGGCCTGTGGGTGGAAATGACCTTGGGCTCTGGCTCCAGAGCGACCTGCTGGCTTGCGGGTGAGTCCCGGGCAGCCTCGGCCTTCTCCTCCGGAAGAAGGGGCAAAGAGCACCCACCTGTGTCCCGCGCGTCCGGAGGGCCGAAGTCACGCACCTGTAGCAGTCACCGCCGGGGCCTCAGATGGGCCCTCAGACTGGGCACTGCGCCCCCGGGGGCAATCAAGGCGTTCTTTCCACAGAGGCCCTCACGTCGCCCACTGCCCGCGTCGCTCGGGAGGAGGCGCCTGTCAGAGGTGCAACAGCCGTCACTCAAGGATGCGCACACCCGCGCCCGGCGCCTCCCTCCCGCAAGGTCGCAGCTGACTGGAGCCCGGTCATGGGTGTGGACATGGCCATTTGGGGTGACATCCTGGGGGACCTTCAGGGGACTGTCCTCTCTCCTCCCTGAGCTTGGGGGCAGGGGCCTCGGGGTGCTAGTGTCGCTTTGTATATTAAAATACCTGCTGTGGTTCCAGCCCAGCGGAGGAGGAGCCGGAGTCCTTGCGGGCTGGGCGGGCGAGTGGCCACGGGTGGGGGCCGCAGAAGCCCACGGTCGTGGCCTGGACAGCCGAACGCCCCAGGCCTGGGAAGTTTCCGAGCGGCTGGCCTCTCCAATCCTGTCCCCTCCTCGGGCAGAACAGGCCGGGCTGTGTGGCTGGAGGGCAGTGAGCAGCAGACTGCACAGCTCAGGTGGAGGCCGGCGGCCTCGGAAGCCCCAAGAATGGGGATCCTCCTACAGGGCCTTTCGCCCTCCTCCTTCAGTGGGTGCCCGCCAGGGCCAGTGAGCCAGGCCGCGGCACCGCAGGCTCACAGAGGCAGCTCAGGCCGCAGCGGGGCAGGCAGTGAGCAGAGGCCTGCCGGTGCCGGGAGGGGCCAGGCCCACCGGCAGAGGGTGCCCCGTGGGCCGTGTGGCCTGGGCAGCCCGAGGTGCTGGCCCCGGCCCCGGCCCATCTGCTGAAACTTCAAAGGCAAATATTCTGCGAAATAATGGGGCTTCATAAGCCCAGCTGATCGATATTCTAGTGAAGGGGAGGAGGGGAGGGCGGGGGTGGCGCGGGGGGGACGCTCCCGCACAGAAAGATGCGGGCAGGAACAGAGGAGGGAGAGAGCAGACGCAGAAAAATGCTCAGCTGGACAGACTCGGAGGACACAGCAGAGAGCCCGGTACACACAGGAGCAGGCAGAGACCCGGGGTTCCAGCGAATGGGGTGCAGCCTGGAAGGCCGAGGGGTCTGGCCTCCTCAGGAAGTCAGGCTGAGTCTCGGAGCTCCGGGCCCTCTCAGGGCCAGCTGCGGGCTTCTCCTTGGTCGCAGCCCCTCGGGAAGGGATGCCGGACATGGGCAGGCAAGTCCCTGCGCCCAGCACCCAGCGGGCTGGGCCCAGGGCCCCGGGAGCAGGGGACCACCCCCTGCGCGCCCTCCCCCAGCAAGACCACCCCCACCTCAGTTCCCACACAGGGGTGAGCAGCGCTCCCCCCCCCGGTCATGAGGCTAAAGACCACGGTCAGCAGCAGCCTGAGGACCACGGTCAGCAGCAGCCGCCCTCTCCAGAACCGCTGAGACCTGGACACACCTTGCCCGGCCTGTTTGTGCCGTGTCTGAACACACCCCCCGAGACCATGTCCATGAAAGTGAGAAGCAGGCAGGTGGTCAGCACAGGCAGCAGACGACCGCCGCAGGCAGAGAGCCCTGGCTCGCCACCCACTCACCCACGCCCACTCCGCCACTCGCCCCTCCTCCACTCGCTCAGCCCCACCCCCTCAGCAAATCACTCACTCGAGTACTCAGTAATCACTGGCCCCTCCCTGCCTCCTCACCCAGAGGGAACATGGGGGAACTGCCTGGCGAGGCCACGCAGAGTGACCTCTGCCACCCCTCCCCCAACAAAGCTGGACAGCGGGTGCCCTTGCCCTGGCGCAGAGCACAGGCCGCCCTCCCCCCTCCCCCTGGCTGGGCCTGAGGCGCAGCGCATGCAAGCCGGGGGCCAGGCTGCGGGACAGTCTCAATTCCCAGGACCAGCAGGTCCCACCGGCCAGCGCCCACCCCGTGCCAAGGGTCGGCACCTCCTTTCATCTTTGCCATCCCCTGGGAAAGCATTCGAAGGGCATGGTTCTCAGGGTGCCGGGCGGGGGCGTCAGGTGAGGGCACACAGCTGGTGGCATCTGGACCCGGGTTGCGGCCCCTGGCCCGGCACCCCACTCTCCACACTGCCCGGGGCTTTGCACAGGTGTGGCGCCAAGGCTGTGCTGCCGAGCTGGAGCGAAGGTCTTCCCGGGAGGGCTCCTGCACCCCGGCCCTGTCTCTGCGGGGTTCCCCGCCCGCCCTTGCTCAGGGAGCCTTCCTGGGAGCTGCTGTCTCCGGGCAGCACCCACTCGGCCACATTCAGACTGTCCCCGCTCCCGCATGGCCTGGGGGTCAGCACAACAGAGGGCAGAGAGGAAGGGCCCCTCTGCCTCACCCTACCCCACAGGCTCCCGCGAGTCCAGGCCTGGGCATCACTAGATTTAAGCAGCCAGATTCTGGAGTCCCAAGCAGCAGGGTCCAGCTCCCCAGCTTCCTTACAGAGGTAAAACACCCGTACGTCTCCTTGGGAAAAGTGACTCTTTCACTCTTTCCCATTCTTAAGTAGGCGGCTTACTTTTTATTGTTGAGTTTGAGGCGTCTTCTATATGTTCCAGACAGACATCTCACCAGATCTGATTTATAGAGATGTCTCCCATACAGTTGGTGGCTTTTTTACTGTTCTAATGGCCTTTGCAGCACAAATTTTAAAAACTTTTATGAAGTCCAATTATTTCTTTTGTGTCTTTGTCACGTGTGCCTTTGGTGTGACATGCAGGGCTCCTGGCCAAACCCAGTGTGGTAAAGGCTTAACCTACGCTTTCCCCTAAATGTGTTAGTTGTGGGTCTTTGATCCATTTTGAGTTGATTTTTGTAGATAATGTTAGGTGAGAGTTCGACTTTGTTCCTTTTTCTTTTTGCTTGTGGGTGTCCAGTTCCCCCAGCATGATCTGTTGACAGCACTGTCCTTTCCTCAATTGACTTCCTTGGCCTCTTTTTGAAGGTTCTTTGATTATGCAGGTACAGGTTCATTTCTGGACTCTTCTATCCTAGTGATCTACACACTGTAGCTTTGAAGTAAGTTTTGCAATCAGGAAATGTGAGTCTTCCATCTTTGTTTTTTTCCCCAAGATTGTTTTGGCTACTTGGGGGTCCCTTGAAATTCCATATAAATTTTAGAGTATATTTTTAATTTTTGAGAAAAACATTGGATTTTTATAGGGATGACAGTAGACCCTCCCTGGTGGTGCAACAGGTTAGGATGCAGCACTGCAAGTCAGCCCCAGCGACTTCAGGGTGCGTTCGATCCCCAGCCTGGGAGGTGACCACATGGCGGCAGACCTCTCCTGACCGGCCGCTGCTCCCCTCAGCAGTGTACTTCATCGATCTGCCTGTTTTGCCCCCCACTCTGTCTCTGGTGAATCCTCTCACTATCCCTGCACCTCTGGCCTGTATGTACCCCAGTTCTGTTTGTCTAAATAAATAAATCTTAAAAAAAAAAAAAAAAGGAATGACAGTAAATCTATAGCTTTTAGCAGTATTGGCATCTTAACAAATTGTCTTCCAATCCATGAACATGGGATGTCTTTCTGTTTATTTACATGTCTTCTGTAATTCCTGTGCTGTTTTGAAATTTTCAATGTACAATGTTTTTACCTCTTTGGTTAGGTTAATTCCTAAATATTTTTTTATAGTATTGTAAGTGGAATTTACAATTTAATTTCCTTTTCAAATTGTTCATTATTAGTGTATAAAAACACAACTAATTTGGGCTTGCTCATTTTGTATCCTGCTATTTTGCTGAATTCATTTATTATTACTACTAGGCATTTGTGGAAGTTTTAGGGGTTTTTACATATAAGATCATGTTATCTGTGAGCAGAGATAACTTCCTCTCTGAATTTGGAAGCCTGTTCTGGCTAGTACTTCCCACCTGTGGGAAGTGGGGGAAGTGAACCACCTTCTTAGTTCTTCATTGTGGTTTGCCTGCAGGGCGTTTTCAGGTTTTTCAGACCTGGAGTGATTCGGATGGGCAGTCTGTGGTCAACATTGGCTTGCTTTAGTCAGTGTTTCCCTCCTTGTCTCATTTAATTCTCACATCAGTCTGCTGAGATCCTGTTTATGTGACCATACATAGAGAGAGAACAGCTGTCCAGAGGGGACGTTGGGCTCTCGGGGGTCAGGGAGCTGAGCAGCAGTCTGGGGTCCAGACAGGTGGGCCTGCCTTGTTGCACGGCTGGAGTGGCACCTGTTCTGACTGGTGGAACACAGACACAGGCTGGAGGATACTTTCAAGGTAACCACTCCTGGCCCAGGTGTGCCTGACACCAGAGGCCTTGAATCCTCCTTTTTTTTTTAAGATTTATTTATTTGTGCATACTGAACTGGGGTACAGGCCAGAGGCTCAGGGGCGGCGAGAGGCTTCACCAGAGACAGAGTGGGGAACAGAACAGGCAGGTCGAGGAAGTACACTGCTGGGGGGAGCAGCGGGCGGGTCAGGAGAGGTCTGCCACGCCATGTGGTCACCTCCGGGGCAGGCGGGGATCGAACTCATGCGGAAGCGGCTTTAGCTTCTCAGTGCTGGGCTTTAACCCGCTGCGCCACCAGGGAGGGCCGAATCCTCCTTTTTAGGCACAGCCCAAGGGTTGGCAGACCAGGGCCCCCAGCCACTCCAGCTCCAGTCTGCTTTCTGTTTAGCCTGTGAACTAAGAATAACTTTCATATTATTAAGTGGTTATAAAAAGAAATAAAAAATGAACATGCAGACCCTAAAGCATTTATTTTCCCCTGGGGGAGGGGTGGTTTGCCAACCCAGCTCCATCCAGCCTCCATAGCTCACCCTCCAGCTTGGAGTGCGTCCCGAGGTTTAGGGGACCCGTGGGCAGTACCCCTAGCTGTGCCATATCGAAGGCCAAGCTACACAGTGTGAGGCTCCAGCCCCAGTCCCTGCCTGAGTCCCTCCTGCTGCCAGCAGCCCATGGTGGCACCAACCTCCCCCATCCCAGGAGGAAGTGAAAAATGTGACACCTCAAAGTGGGACATTAAAGTTTAACAGGGGGATGCATATTTAATGGGGCTTAACAAAGCATCCTTAAAGACATCCCAGACAGCCCCTCTCGGGTGGGGCAGGCTGCCGTGAGAGCCACCCCGCCCCCCCAGGCAGCCAGCGCCTCATCTGTCTGCGGAGGCGTCCCCAGATAACGGATAACGTGGCATTCCTGGCGCCTGCCAGGGCCAAGCGCAGCCCCGCAGTCTCTGGGGGCGCTGCCCGCTCATTAACAACATGATGGGGATGTCTGAGGACTGCGGCGTGAGCGGGATGCAGTCAGGCTCCTGGGCCCCCGCCAAGAAGCCCCCACTCTTCAGTGGTGGGGGGCCTGCCCTAGGGAAACTCTTCCACTCTCTGACCCCCACCTGTGTGAGGGGCCACTGCTGGGGGTAGAGGGCCAGGGCACAGGGGCTGGCATAAGATGCGCCCCATCACCCCCCACTGGAGACTCAGGCCTTTGGCCTTTGAGACTCAGGCCCTCCCGTGAGTCAGAGTGGCCCCAGTCCGGCACGTCACAAAGACCACAGGACTCGCCTTGCTGCCCCTCCCCCTCCATACAACTGGGCTCACAGCCCAGTCTCAGGGATACTGGGTCCTTCTGGGCTCCTCCAGCCGGGCCCTCACTGATGCCCTCAGCGCTGGGGAGGAGGCCACAGGAGCCCCGTCCATGGGTGTGACTCCCCCAGAGGCACCTCTCTGGCCCCCGCACCGGCTGTAGTCCTCAGTGCCCCAGGGCCACGCCGACACATGGCCATGATGACATGTGGCCAGGCCCACACACGGCCATGATGACACGTGGCCACACCCACACATGGCCATGATGACACGTGGCCACGCCCACACACGGCCATGATGGCACGTGGCCATGCCCACACATGGCCATGATGACACATGGCCACGTGGACACACGGCCTCCACCCACCCTGGGCACGGTTGCCCGATGCCCCCCCTGGGTTTCAAAAGCGGCCCCTCAGTACGTGCCACACAGAGCTGCCCACCAGGGCGCCATGGGGGTGGGGGTGGAGGGGAGTTCCAGCATCAGGTGCTGCATAGACGGGGTGCCTCTCCTGCACACGCCTCCCCCCTCGCCTGGCCCGGCGCCCACCCCTGCGAGTGATGCCATGGTGGCACCCCCACCTCAAGCCTGTTTAAGGCTGCCTGGAGTTCCTGGGGCGCTCCTCACGGGCGTCCGGGGTCTCAGGGCCTCGACCCCAGCTTCTGGCCTGCCCCACAGTGCACTGGCCTCTGGTGCTCCCGTCCTGTCACCCCCCATCCCGGGGCCCATCCTGTCAGTCAGACCTGGAGGGGGCTCCTGCCCAGCCAGGGGTCCCCTCCTCGGGACACCCCTCAGAGGCCGCCTGGCGCTCTTGGTGACCTCCCCTGAGCCCAGAGGTACATCTGGGTGACGTCCTGGTGCCCGGCGCTGGCTTGGCGGTGAGGCCCTCAGACCGGGAACCTGGCTGCGGTAGGGACACGGGGCCCTGGGCTCCTGACAACCTATGGCGCCCCAAGCACCCAAGGTCCACCCTCAGCAGGGCCCCTTTTTGGAGCAGACACGTTGACCCCACCTCCCCTGTCACCTCCACCAGCCTCTGCCGTCTGGGCCCCTCAGCTGTGACAGTGTAGTGGGGGTCCCCGGGGTGCAGGGGGCACTGGCAGCGCCATCTCAGAGTCAGCTCTCCCCGGCGGCTGGGTGTTGCGTCTATGGAGCAGCCCTTGGGCTGAGGTCTCAGGTTTGGGGGGCGACTTTGGGGGTGAGTGCCGGGGCAGGGAGCACCCCTCCCCAGCCCAGAGGGGCTCTGCAGATAGAGTGTGGGGCGCTTAAACAGTCGCTGCTAAAATGCACCGAGGCCTCGTTGGAAGACGAGGCGCGCGTGGGGGCCTCCTGGTCAGCCCGGTCCCGGGCCAGCGGGCACGCAGCGGGCCGGACGGGCGGCAGGCGCAGAGGGGCCCCGGAACGGCCTGTCTCCCTGAGGGCCCGCTCAGGAGGCAGGTGTCTGGCGGCCGGCTGCGGCCCCGCCCGTGTGCGGCACACCCACCAGGCGCCCACCCACCCTCCGCGCTGGCACGGGCACCAGCCGGGCGCGTCTGGGAAGCGTTTCCAGATTCCTTTGCCATTTGTTCTCACTGTTTGGGGGGGAAATTCTCCCAAACATCCTGGAGCCTGTGGTCTCCTGAGTCTGAGATGCTCCATCCTGAGACCGGGTGGAAGGTTCTAGGAGCGGAAGTTCCCTTCTGCTCTGGGGGATGGGCTGGCGCTGGCCAGCCCCCAGCCGCACGGGCAGCAGAGCCAGCTGGCCTCGGGGCCCGCGCTCCACGCTGGCCCGCGCTCGGCCACCGCACGTGCTTCCAGCACAGGAGCCCCACGTTGTCTTCCAGGGGAGACCCCCCACCACCAGGGGCTCACCCGGCCCCCTGCGGAGGGCAGCGTCCCTGGCAGAGCCTGAGACCACGGCCCACAGCCAGCGCCTCTTTCTTCCTGGTGTTCGGGGGCCCCGACCCCCACAAAGGCCTGGGAGCGCAGTCCAGGCGCCGGCCCCCAGAGGCGGCACAGTCAGCCACCCCCCGCCTGGTCCCGGGACTCGTCTCCTGGCGTCGAGGGGGAAGCAGCCGCCCTCCTGCAGGGACTTGGGGGGAGCCGGGGTCCGCGGGCTGAACGTTCCCCACTCCTGAACGTCCCGGAACTGGCCACGGTCACGGCCACTTTCCAGTCATCGCCCCCGGCGCATTTCTCCCTGCCGCCTCAAGGGCGGGGTGACGGACTGGGGTGCACTGCAGGGTGCCTCACCAAATCACACCCAGCTGGTCCCCATCGCACCCCCTTTCCTGAGCCCCAGGGGCCCTGAGGATCTGGAGCACTGGGCTGTCCAGTGACAATGTCCACGGCTGATGCCATCCGACACCTCTGTGAGCCCCGTGTTCTGACGCACAGGGGAGCAGAGTGGCAGGTGGGGTGCTGGCCGCCCATCTGGGCCCCAAACAGGAACCTGCTGGTGGCCTGGGCCTGGAAGGCTTCGGAGCCCGGTAACCGGGGACTGACGGGCCGCGGGGCCTGTGGGGGCGGCGGAGGCAGGGCCCTCACGCCGGGCGCCTGCGGAGATCAGAGCGTGACCGGGGAAGGCGGACGTGGGTATAAGTCGAGGGGTGGGGCAGAGATGGCGGCCGCGGTGTGGGGGCGGCAGGATCACGGCGGCCAACATAGGGTCCCTCTGTGTGCCCAGCTCTGTCCCCCGGAGTCCACGCGTCCTCACGGGCCCGCGGAGTCTTCAGATGCGGACGCCGCAGCCCCGAGGCAGG